ATTAATTAAAATACACACAAATTAATAAAGTAACTGTTATTTTATTCTTATTATGTACAATATGCTATTTTACCATCCAAATTACATATTAAAAAATTAATAATTGTAGTTTTTCTTTGTAAATTGAAGGAATTTCTTTTAAGTGATACAGCTCTAGGGTAATGTGTTTTAATGGTAATATAAATAAATACAAATAAACATTATTTAAGAACCTTTGACTTCTAATGTTATATCCCTTACTGTAAAGTTGACTATTACTGTGTTTATGCGATGCCGAATTCACGCTTTCATTTCGCGATTTCGGCCGATTCGTGTGTGCATAAACGCCATTTCGTGATTTCGGCAACACACGAAAGTTGACTATGATTTCAGCCCCAATGCACGAAATGCTGAGGCACAGCCTACTTCACAGCCTACTACTCTATAGAGCTCTATATAAAATTCAGAAGATTTGACAGCTTTACTAATATCATTTCATGAATTTGTCTGTGTTGCATAAACAGGGGCTATTATAATTTCATGTTCTGGAGAATGCATGATATTCATAGCATAAGAATTCAGCCCCAATTCACGAAATGTTGAGGCACAGCCTACTACTCTATAGAGCTCTATATCAAATTCAAAAAAGTTGACAGCTTTACTAATTTCATTTCATGATTTTTTCTGTGTTGTATAAACGGGGCTATTATAATTTCGTGTATTGGAGAAAGCATGAAATTCATAGCATAAACATAGTATGTTCTTGTATCGAAAAAGCATAGAACAGAACTGAAAACATGACAACGAATTTGTTATGATATAGGGGATAGATCCCCCCACTTCTGCTAAAAAGTAAGGTATATGTATTTTATTCCAAATTTTTGTTTTCAACTCAACACATGTGTGACTAATAAGTTTATTAGGCGATAAATAAGTAAACAAATGATTTCTATATCGTTTTAAAAGTTACTAGGACTTAGGACTTATTTATATTTTCCAAATCTTCTACTTACCACCTTGGATATAGCGCTGCTCTCACGTGCTGCTCCCAGAGCTCCGAAAATCGCGGCCAGAACGACGACCACGCTCCCGCCGATGATGACGAAGGCGGCCGTGTTGAAGTGCTCGAATTTGTAGATGATGTGCACTCCAAGGCCAATCGCAGCCAGGCCAAACAGCTGTCGATCGAGAGAGGTGGGAAGCGGTTGATTGAAAAGTTAAATAAGTTCTACTTTGCCCCAAAGGTGATAAAACCGTAGCGCTTGAAGGTTCTGCGTTGAGTCAATATGCAAATGGGGTCTCTGAACGTATGGAGATCGATGGAAATTCTCCAGGCGTTGTACGCAAAGATTAAATCATATTTTTTACAACTCAGCTTACTCATTCTTCAACTAATATCTTTATTACTATATATTACGTATACGCAGAGGTGTCTCCTGAAATCGCTCGCCTCTCACTTTTCGAATGCACCGCTGGTTGCATTTTTAAAATTACCGCCATGACTCACTAGATCCACAAACACAACGTGATATTTCGCACTCTCCTGCCAAATGTAGACTCTTTGTAATTTGGCACTTTGCCCAAGGAAGCGCAAAGAATACAAAACTATTCTGCTACCGAAAGTGAGTTTTCGAAATGCGTAGTAATTATAAATTCACAATGATGATGTTTGCACACGGCAACCTGTTGCCGCCACCAATTTGTAAATTATTTTTACAATTGTCAGTAGGGGCAAACAAGAAAACCAGTCGGCAAATAAGTTGGCTTTGACGTGCCTTGTTTGTTTGTCACCACGACCAAATGGGCCCGGCTTAGAAAAAGCTTACCTTTTCGACGGCTCACAGCCTACGAGGTAATTATGAATGATTTCGACGATTAATAACGGCAGCCATGTCTGATTTCAGGTGTAATCCCCGGCTAAAAAATCGTTTGTGAAGCCCTAAGCGGGGCGTAACTCCGATGTTTGGCTTTGGCTAAGAGGCAGTTAAATAAATATTCACTTAAGGAACAATTCAATGAGCTTTGTTGCCTAATAAGGCAGCGGAAAAATATAATTTACATTAATAGAGTTACAATCGAACTGTGGAATCAACACTGGCCCACCAATTAATGCTTATGAGGCAATGGAGATGAGCTGTGGGCACGTAGCACTCGGACATCTGGCTCTATTTTGTGGATACCCGGGTGCGTACTCAACGCCATTTAATTGTAATTTATTATGTTCCGGCGCCCAAATCCCGCCAAAACCAAATAGGCGCTGACCCAAGGGCCTGGGGAAGACCAAAATTCCTCAGGCACGTTCTTTACAAGCTCGAAAATTGAAAACAAACAAAGTGTTTTAGTTGAAATGGAAGTCAAGCATGCCACAATCTGTATTTGCTTAAGACCATCGAACCATAATTAGACTTTGTAATTGAGTGCCGAGTTTTGTGACTTAATTTCAAACAGAACCTTATGATCGCTGTTTGCACTGGCAACAGGCCCACTCAACTTTCTGAAATCTAAAGCGGACTATTATGCCTGTCGCGATTATTTAACAAGCTAAGGAGACACTCAGGTGCTGTCCAATAAAAAAGATAAGGATGGCTATGTGTTGGCAACGGAGTAGGCAACGTTTTATTAATTTGCTCCCATTTCCCCACGCAGACAAGCAATTAAACGCAATTATCACCAGAGTAACCAAGGTCGGACTTTAGTAGAACAGTGCGGCCAACTAATTTGCATATGTATCATTTGATAAGGCTGCATAGACTGAGTAGGCAGATCAAATGCCAGTGTCAGTAGTACGAGTAAATGCTCAAAAAAAAGGGTCACGGCACAGATTTATGGGGGTTTCACAAAGGTTCAGCCCTACCCTAAAGCAGAATAAAGTAATTTCCAGCATAATTGAAATCTCACAGCGTGCAAATCAAGAGTTAACTCGCCTGGAACCAAAAGCGGAAAATCGCGCATACGCCGTGTGGTGCTCGCTGGTATTACCTCAGCCGCATTCCATTTAAATCAAATGCCAGAAAGATGCCCAAAACGTCTAGGAAATGACATCAACCAATGTATATATAGACAGAGAACTAAACCAAATCTGGTTCAAGTAAAATTAACTAAAAGAACATCACAAGTCTAATAAAAATTCTATATATTTTTGTTCAGGGTTAAGTGTTGGCGTGGGTGACCAAGTTTTGGCTTGGCAGCCTTTAAATGTTGAAAAAACCCAAATAAAAAGCTGAGCAAAAAAACAAACAAAAAATTGATGAAAATAAATATTAAATCAGTTTTTTAAAGTTATTTTTAGGCTGGAATATATCTCCCTTTCTGTACTTTCTTCCATGACTAATAATGCCATTTTAATATACTGCCACTGAATTTGCATCAAACTATCAAACAAATCATTGGTCTCTATGTTTGTTTTAAATGTTATTAAATAAACAAAAGACAACATCAAAGGCTAATAAATTTTTTAATGATCTTGGGCGAAGCTGGAGAACGTTTCTTGGGCAAGATCTGGCATTTGGCCAACGGCGTTCAAAAGTCAAGTAATTTATCTGCATTAGCCTTGGCTCTAGCCTCTAGCTAATTCATGTTTTAGTGCCTTTTGGGGTCACTGAAATTGGCCCACCGAAATCGCAAACGAAACTTATCTCTATCACTGGGCCCTTGGGAACGTGTACTTTATCTTCTTGGATACCTCTACTTACGGCATATATAATATCCCAGAAGAGGGCAAGGCCCTTCAAAACGTCTGTGGAACAGGCCATCTTCACTAATCCAATACTTGTAAATGGAAACTAGATATTTATGCAGCAGGTACTCGTATTATTTATAACACTTGGCAACTCGCGGCTTGTTGACAGTTGGAAAATATTTATATTGGTTCTAACGGTTGCTGGGGTTACCCAAAACCGGGTTCATGTTCACCGCTCGACTGTTAACTGAAAACTGTTCCGAACGTTCCGAGATTTCTAATAGGCGCGAAAAGCGTTTGGCGAAACAAACGGCGGAAAAACGGAACGAAAGCTTTGACACGAAGTGGAATTGAAACATTTGGCCGCAAAAACGCGCAATGTTTTTTTTTTGCTCATCTAAATATTTACATATATACATGTACATATAAACAAAAATAGATGACGAACTATTTGAATAAAATAAGAGAGAGATTCGTTGGCCTATGCTATGTATACCCAGTACTCTAAATATAAAAGGGTATGTGGTATTCGTGTTTAAATATGATACAAAACATAAACTAAAGGATCTATAGAGCTATGAAAGCTACTGTCTTTTTAGAGCCCAAAGTTTATGTGAGTTTCTTAAATATTTTTGATCCCGCCCATGAAAATTCTATATGTATTATCACTCTCTCAGATTTAATAAACATTTTTTAAAAAAGATTCAATAAAAATATTTGCATTTTTGAGAAAGTTGCCATATGTTTAGGTATTCCATATACTTTGAAACATAGACGTATCCCATAGACATATCATTTGAATATAGCGCTCTTTCTTGTTTAAATTTACTTTTAAAAAACAAATGGCGCATTTTATACATTCAATTTTCATCTGGAATCTTGTTGTTCCTTTAGTTCAGGGCGTATTGTTAAGCAACTTTTTGAATACCAAAGCTTTTCCGTTGTGTGAAGAAAAAGTTATAAATTATAATACAGAAGGCCGGTATGTTTATCACAAATACATACATGGCTGAATGATAATTGTCGATCGATATAAGCAGATGCGTGCAAAAATGCTGATAAATATTTAGATTATAAAAATAAAGTTATTAAACATGGCATCTGATGATACTACTTATAAAGATAATCAAAAATGAAAGCTCTTAAATTTGTAAATGAAATTTATATAGCCACCTAGCTTACCTTTACTATAGTAATTGTTTTTTTAAGTATTGTAAGAAAAAAGAATATGCTTGGCTTGATACATTTATTTGGAAATATCTTTTAATAAATAATATTAAAACTATTTTACTTTTCCTAACATTATTTGTGAGTTGTTTTCCGCATTTCACTAAAATCAACGTGTGAGTAAGGTTATACTTTACTATCATGTAGTGCTGATCAAATGCTTTTGAATTTCAAAAAATGTAACAGTAATTTTCCAGTCTTGAACATCGCTCAAGCCGTGCCAAACCAATTAAATAAAGGTGTAATATTGTTTACAAATTTAACAAGTTGACCGCCAATCCTTAGACGTGTTCATAATTGAGTATTTTGGGGCTTCTCTTTTTAAAAGTAAGAACGGCGGGCATCATTGCGAATGCTGTTGCACAGACGGCAAGAGATGACACTGAGCAGGAGCTGTAAAACAAATATAGGGGTTTTAAAAAGACTGCCTAATGGGTTATCTATTAAAAACCCACCTCGATGGCAATGAGCACGAGGGCAAGGATGTTGAAAATGTGGGTCAAGCGCAGCCAGTAGTTCTCGAACTCCACGCGACAACCGGTGTGGATCAGATTCTCCGGCTTGCTCTTGTCGTGGTTCCGGAAACAGGTATCCGGAGGCAGACGTTCGTTGACAATATAATCCTGGGGACTGCCACGACCACAGCACTGGAACTGTGGACGAAATAGGTATACGGTTACCATAAAAAGTCAGATTTAAAGCGTGCTGCCAACTCACCCAGTTCTGGTAGAGCGACATAGCACCGGGACTGTTCAGTTCCTCCTCCCAGGTGGCCTCCAAAGCGTTGGCCAGGTTGGAGGCCACCGCCTTCTCCTGGGTGATCAGCACGTAGACAACGGCGAACTGAGCAATTATGACCAGGCAGAGGAAAACAATAAACTGCAAGGGGATGTTACCGGTTAAATATATGTATGGGGTAATATGGGTAATTCTTCAACTTACCGTGACCGTACAGCACACATTCTCCCGCCAAGCCGACAGATATCCCCAAAGCACCACCACCAGGGCAGCGATTCCGAGTCCCACGTAAGAGTAGGCCGATACTTTTCCGATATCGTCCAGATCATAGGACACCACCACATAAATGCCAAAGGATATAAGCACCAAGGCCAGCAACTGCAATGATCAAATAGTAGTTCGAAATAATGTTGACTTGGAAATCCCTATGAGTTTCAGAAAGAGCGTGAGAAATATGTAAAAACTGCTAATAATACGGGAAAGACAATACATATAAATAAATCGAATTCTTCCACCAGAGTAGTTATTTCAGGCTATCGATGTGTACCTATCGCAATACAATACTGTGTGTGTGGCGGCAGAGAACGGACAGAGCTGTTATACGGATTCGATATTTATCTATTTAAATTATGAAAATTAAAGCAAAAGTTTGGCAATGTTATCCGCAGATAAGACTAGAATAAGAATCTCATGTCATGAAATCAATTTATTTTTAGCCCAACGAGGGGGATGTTTCGGTTCCATCTAGCTTCCTATCCCAACTAAATCTTGCTGAATTCTCTTTATATAGCTGTTCGCAACAGCAACCCTCTGCGAAAGCTCTGGAATTGGGAGGACACCATTTGGCCAGTGTTACAGTTTCAATGTCTTTGACCTCACACAAGGCACTAATAGAGGAGCTATTCGGGGGCGACCGTCGGACTAGCCCGTCTGGCGTCAGGGATAGACGCCAAGGAAATTGGCGGGAATATGGGTTTGGGAAACTGGGATTGGAAAGTCGCAGTGGCGCCCACAGGAAGGTCACCCACAGCAAACAGGATTGCGACAACAGACAAGGTCGCATAATTACTATTCATATCTGATATCGCAGCCGAGAGGGCTTGTTTGCTTTCGTTATTGTTTGAGTCGTTTCGGATTATTCAAATTTAGTTATATGCTGCAGGGGATTATTTTAAAAAGTGACGTAACGTTCTCAACCAACGATGATGAGTAGGTTTGAAATTTCTCAGCTTTGCTGTAACATTGATATCACTGTTTTATAATTAAATCACTTGAAGTAATGACTAAGCCTTCTGCCGGGAAAACAAGCCGATGGTACCAGTCCAAATATCGATTGGCAATTCAAAATTGATGAGCTGGTATCTGATGGACATGCCGATCATATTATATATGCACTGACCTCTGGTGGCATCTGTTCCTTCTCACCGGGGCTTGCAATTAAATTGTATAAATAAACCAACCAAATGTAATCGGGGAAACGAGCTTACTGGCGTTCTATATATCTGCCTACTAAAAAATAACACATGTTGAGTTTTCCATGCTATAATATGCCATAGGCACACTCACAGTATGCACATGTGAAAATTTTGATAAGATGAATGTATCCCATTCCCTTATTGTTTTGTTTTGCTTGCGATCATTGTGAAATCGACTTAAGTGGTCATTGTACCATATTTTTGTTTACAACGCCTTAATTGACGTAATCGCTGGAGTGGGCTATCTTCAAGGTGGGCGGGCCACTAGCGAAAGTAACTCACCGTGCAAAGTACGTCCAGGGCGTAAACAATCAGCTTTACACTCGCGGTAGACGCCATGGCGGAGTAAGGTCCTCGGATTCCCCGGTCTGGATCTGGATCTAGATGCCTTAAATTCCTGGAGAGCCGCCTGAAAGGGAGAGCAAGCGCCAAACAAACTTGTTTTTAATACTCGTCAGCTCTCTGAAAGATCACTTCAATGAGATCACGATCACTAATGCCACTCTCTGGGGTCTCTGTGCCTTTACGAAATTCTCTGGAAGATCGGCTTTTTTAAGTCAATTTTCCTTCAATACACAATGTGTGACGTTGACACCGATGTTGGGTGGGAAATCGTCGAAGGCACTTTCCCGCAACGAGTTGAACGACTTATTGGCAGCCCTACCTTCGGATCAGAAGCGTTTTCTCCGCCGTCTAGAAACTAAGTGAGCGGGTCGCAACTGCCGGCTGTTTTCCAAAGCTCTTCGATAAAGCTTTAGCGCGCCCCAAGTTGCCAGACTGCTGGGAAGAGTTACCAGGTCCAAGTTCCGCTTTCTCCAAAAATATTGAGTTTTGGCAATCCGTCCAGTTTGAAAAGTGTTTAATAGCGTTTCTAAATTTTAAGATGTTTTCATTATTTTGCGTACAATTTTTGTATCTTTTAGTTTCTTTTAAATTTGTATCGTTCTATACAGCTTTAAAACAGGGCTGACATTGTCGCAATTTTAAAGTCATTTATAAATTTAAAACACGTTTACTTTACTTTACTTTTTTACTTTATTATTGAAAAGACATTTTCTGAAGATATTCCGCATTGCGCGATACCACAAATAAACACTTACCACAAACTCACGATAATAGCTATAAACAACGAACATTGTGCATATGCTGAAAGCTAAAAAAATTGTTTTTTTTTTCAATATTTTTTTTTATTTTAAGGTACGAATCTTAGTTTGTTTAATTATTGATGTATGTTTATATTTACCCTCCAAATAGGCAGAAGAAATGGCTTCAATAGCACCAAACTGAGAAGTATCTTCCTGACAATATCCCAAAGTCCATGCAACATAAATTAAGTTTACCAAAATAGATATGAAACCCCAAGAAAATAGTACAAGCTAACTAACTAAATTTTAAAAATGTAGAAAAAATCTAAGATATTATTTATCAATTCAAAGAACATTATAATATCAAACCTGTGACTTGGTGCAAACCAAAACGAGACCATAAACAGAATTAATCAATTGAAAAATTCCGAGGAGCGTCCACAGATCTAGACACTCTGGAAACTTTAAGGTTTTTAAAGAAGCAAGAATCTTAAATTTATAAAAATACCTACAGCAATTATATTACTAAAATCAGAATAAAATAGAGACAAAAGCTAAAATTATTTTATTAGAACTTTTACACAATCAATATTAACAAAAAAAACACACCAAAAACCCATTGCAAATGGCAAATGCAAGATGAACAATGATCACTATACTCCGACACATCGAACGGAATTAAGAATAAAAGGCTTTGGAGCAAAGTAATTTGGACATACACAAATGAATTAATGGTAAACATTTAATTTAATTGCCCCTATCCAAATTATTAGCTAACATATTGATTTTTTACATTATACCACTCGAGAGCTAATAGAGTCAGGAAAGTACATAGGGGGAACTTGAAATATTAAATTTAATTTATGAACTAGGTTTATTATATAGTATACATTTAAAAAATATAGAAGGACGATGTATTCAGCAAATGAAAATGCACCTATTATTTTTAAAAATTTACATTTTTCTTGGCTAGAAGAGGCAAGTTATTTTCTCATTCTATTCTATTTTATAAAAAATTATATATATAAATATAAATTATTATATATAAAAAAATGTATGTTTTTTGTACATATGTTTAAAAAGTAAGTCAAAGAAATTAAATAAAAACAGAAAAATTAACAAACTCATGTTCAGAAATTGAAACCTTTAAAATTATTGGTGACCTACATTAGTCACTTTTATAGCTATATGAGCTATACGGATTTATCTACTGCTGAGCCATTTTCAATATATAAAATAGAACAAAGTCCATTTATGACTCATTATGGGCTTTTAATATGTCACTTGAAGGAGATAAACATGACTCAACTGATTTACAAAAATTTGAAAAATTGTAAATTGATCAATTCTTTTATTTTCTTATAAAAAAATAAACTGGCAACCACTTTGAATGACTTTAAAATCCTGGTCAGAGAACCTTCTTTCAACTAAGGATGATTACATTTTTAGTTAAGTTTAACTAGGTTCATCTCCACGTTCTATCTGACGTGAGACATCCTTGTTCGGGCAATATTTTAGATTTCTGCAGTTTCCGTAAACTAAAACAAGGGCATATATGGCAAAACCTGGGGAAGTGGAGTATAAATAGTTGTTTTTAAACATAGTAAATATACCCACAGATGTGAATCAAATGAAGAATTGAAACTGCATCACGTTTTTGTGTGGTTTCACGAAAGATTAGGGAAAATACCTCGATCTCCAATGAAACAAAAGTTATAATCCAGACACACAGAACAATTTTAACCTGTTAGGAAAAAAATCTTAGTAGGAAGCCAACATTTTTTCTTATTTACAAATTTTGAATTTTAGGTAATTTAAAAATACTCCAGTGCCGCCCAGAAAAATTGACACGAATTCCAAGCCATATAAAACATCGGTATTTTCAAAGGTTTGGTACAACAATTCTGGTTCGAAAAAAAATGCATAAAAATAACTAAATGAAAATAGAATCGAACTTAAACCACTTATTAAAAATAAAGACAAAGCTAAACCCAGACAAATTGGTTTACACATTAAAAATATTCCGATCGTATATTTCGCGTTCCGTGCAAAAGTCCTACTAACAAAATAATTGGTATAAATAGTGAGCACATTAAATACCAAGCTAAGTATAAATGCCGTAATTATTATGATATGTAATACATGGCTGCAAGTCATTTTCGTTATAATAAGTTGGTTCCATTACTCTAAAAAAAAATAAAGTCATGAAATACAAAAGCAGTTTAAATGGTAAATAAGTATGGAGAAGAGACTATATAAAAAAGGGGCACAAACTGTTCTTTATAATTTTATTTCTGCAAAATGTTTTTTATAGAACCAAAGACAGTTTCTTACGAACACTCAAAAAGCATCTCAAAAATATTGCAAACAACAAACAGATTAGCTTCCTTAAAATAGTGTAAGTAAACTTGCTATGTTTCGAAAACTGTTTAAATGTGCCAGCGAAAAAACATCCCAGAAAAAGGATTTTTAATAACCCGCAAGTTGAAAAAATTCTGTTTTTTGGCATGCAATTATTTTTTTTAAAAGGTACCTACCGAAAATGTATGCTTATCAAAATCATTGACAAGTGCAACTTTTTCCCTTCAAACAGTTAACAGGGAAAGAATGACAATATCTAAAACGACATGCACTACAAAAATTATTTATAAATTAAAGTTTTCTTTAAGTATTTAATGAGGAGTATATTAAATGTAGATTCATTTAATTATTTATGATTTTAGCAGAATATGTTTATATCCAGAGAGCGTGAAAAATAATTTAAAACAGGGTTAAGAAAATCCCTAGATCCCGCTATGACTTAAAATGTTCCCAGAGATCCCATATACCCAGCTAGTAACTTTATTTAAGAACTGTGTTGTATATGATTTCCAAACATATATGTGACCTTAAGTTATTATTTTGTAATATATTGTTTTGTCGTAATCAAATATCAGTTTTATCAGGTACCAAATGCAAAAGTTTTTCGATCAATCGATTTTTGATAATTTTCTTAGATACCAGCACGTGTAATAAAACCAAAAAGAAGCTGCAGATCAGGAAACCTTTGAAAAAAGTCTGAAATAGTTATATTAATTGGCTCAATCTTTTGGCTTACCAAAGAATATAAGCTGCCATTGCCACACATTTTTTTCAGACAAAATATTGGCATACGCAATATAACAAAACTCAAGCACAATCAACTCAGCGATGACTATTAACCAATTGTACAGAAAAAAGAACTCCTAAAAAAAGTGGTATTAGAATGTCAAATGATTTTACAATCCTTATATTTCAACATGTAATCTAAAATCTCCAACCCTGTAATTTCCAGTCACCAACATCAAACCGCTGGCGCCGACAGAAGCCGACATTATCCAAATAGTCTCCAACCCAGAGTCACATTTCTCCCATGAACCTGTAATTCAGAATTCAGTTTATTTAATTTTATTTTAAGTAAGCTATCTTACGAAACTTAACGCAATGCACCAGGCAAGGCAAAAGGGTAGAGAACAACTTAAATGTAAATACAAAGTATAAGCTTATTGCGAGGCAACTAAGTATTTTCGGCATCCTAGGGGAAAAGTCAATAAAGACTAAGCCAGACGAGTACTGTTGACAAGGGAAAATAGTATGTCAAAGGTGCTATAAATTGATTGTCATTCAGATGGGCCTTTTCCGTCAATTGGCTTTTACATTTATTACACAAATTTACCAAAATGAATCGATTACACTAGTGTACAAACTTTTACTTTTTGTCGAGTTCCGCTTATAAGCCATTTTTTTATTATTTATCTCAAATTTCTTTAAAAAAAACATGTGAGATTTGGATAGAATATATTCAAGCTTTATTAAGAACAGCATTAAAAAAAACAATTAAAGCAAAAAAGTTTTTAATTTTAAATTCCTAATACACTAAATGACATAGCAAAAATGGCCTGAAGACACAAATAAAATTTGAATATATTTGTTCATATACAAAAAAAATCCCAGATACAGTTGTTTTCCTCAGTAAAAATGACTATACTATAAAAAAATTTAGAATTATACTAAAACTTATAAATATTCCTTTTAAAATGTTTTTTTTTTAATTATATAGTCCAAAAGTAAACTGCTTACAAAATCAAAACTGAGGGTGCTTCCATTGGTAGCCGCTATACAAAGTATTTCATTGTTGGAATGCCCCGTCTATATTGTGATGTACAGCCCTCTGTTATTTTCATGATAAATAATTTGAGTGGTACTGAACTTGAAACGGTTTCCTTTCTTTTTATAATCTCGACAGTGACTTGTCGATATTTTTCTTTGCTTGCTGTACACGACTGTTATCACCACCAATGGTTTTGAGATATATTTCAAGTTCGAAACAGCACAGACGATTCAAAGACGTTCCATATCCGTTTGAAAATATTTTTATCAACACATGCTTTCCCTGGCAAATTATATAAAGCGATAAGTTGGGGCTTTCAAACCTTGTTCTTTGAAATTTTAAAATGATACACTGACAACATTTACAATACATAACCTACTTGTCTTGATTAAATTCCACATTCATTTTTAAAAAGTGAAAACAAATGGATTTATCCTTCGGATCCGATATAAGCTTCTCAATACTCGTACAAATAAGTAATCCTATAATATCGGGGTGCCACAGAAATCGCTTAGCTTTTGTGCATCTATATATATCAATTTGGTACTCCTGTATACCTGAGACATATTTAGGAAAAGTTATTCACTTTTATTATGCCTCATTTTATTATATATAATTACAAGGTTCGATTTCATATTCCAGTCAAGCGATAGAAATTAAAAAGAAGTTTAGGTTACAAAAATATTTTTATGGATGATCAGGATGGTTAAATTAAATTATTTAATTAAATTTTTTTAAATTTTAAATTTTGTTAGAATGGAATTTTACACGAATTCAATTAAGTTACTTGGTAATTTTTTGAAGATTTTATTTTAGGTTCAACTTAAATAAGATATTTTCGCAGTCACATTAAGTACAAATTACATATCTTCCGGTGGCCTTAAGGATCTGGAATAGCCAGCGACTGTTATTAAGCTAATTAACATAAACCCTAAAACAAATACATATAAGAGTGAACGAAAAAGTACACCAAATATCCAGATTTATATACCCAGACCGAAGTAGTTTTGGACTTTCTCAGTGGTACCGAATTCGTCGCTGTGGAAATCCAATAGAACCAAGTGAAGAACAAGACCACCTAATATATAGAACGACGTCATCAAGAGCCACCAATGCAGATAACATAGATCCTATAAACGAAATATGAGCTATGTAAGAGCTATTTAAACGAAGAATCCATTTCAAACCTTAAACTTGACTACGATCATTAAAGTTCCGCAACAGCTATGCACAGTCCACAAAAAATAGCAATGCTCTATTCCGGTAATACGTACTGATTCAAAAAGTTTAAATTATATTTCGTAAACCAATAAAAATTTTGACATCTTACCACCGTTCGTTCCATTTTTAATATCGTAGAGATGAACTAATAAACAAAATGTTACGACAAAATTAATTAAAACCCCAAAGGTGAAAACAAATAATTTGAAAATGTATTCAAGCAAACAGCACATGCCTGTTCTTTTGAGTGAACCAAACTATAGTAGATTTTGTTTTTGGAAGTCAGTAATGCAGGATAATTAGCAGCACTACCATATTAATGTATCAATTAACGTTCAACAAAGGAGTTATAATAGACGAAATTATGGAATCATGGGAGTATTAGGGGTCTTTTTAATTTGTTTGCGTATAGACAGTCAAACAGTAGGTATGTAAAATGTATTAACCCATTGCAAGTGCATACAAATTTCTGAAATTACCTAGGGACCGCTAAAATAATCTAAATTAATTGCAGTTTACATACGTATATCGCATAGTAAGCCAAACAATAAGTCCATTAGGTCGCTGCCATGGCAACTTGAGGACAAAACAAAAACATCGTCCGAAGCCGACCAAGTTTTTTTCAGGGTCAAGCTCCATACTGAACCCCTCATTAATTATACGGGTAAAAACACAACGATTTTGGTATATAAATACAATTTAAATGCTTTATTCATAAATTTTTTATGCAATTCGGCCCTTGTTGTTTGATGCATTTTTCACATATAAATTTTTCCCGGAGATTCTCATTACGAGTTTGAGTTGAATAAACATATACGAATATATATGTTTATAATAAATATATATTTCCTTTTGCTTGGGGCTTTTCAACAGTTTATAGATTATATGCTTAGTTATAAACAAAGGTATCATTATTAACGTGTTTATTTGTTTGTATTTTTGTTAATATTTGGGGTTCGGTTCAACAAGTAAAACGTTTGTACAAAGGCTTTGGAAATTGCTTTGCTTGCTCGTTCGATAGGTAAAAAAACGAATTATACCAATAATACATAGGATATACAAAATGTAAGCGTTTCATATCGCCTTAAACTAAGCTTTTTCTCGTTTCTTTCATGGCAAATGTCCAAGTAAATGGCGAATTTGCAATTATTATTATTTATCCCTTTGTGTAAGTGCGTTCGACGACTGCAAAAGTTAATGAGAATGTGAGGAGTGTGTGCTACTGGATGCGGGTGTGCCTCTCGATGTGGTTGATAGGTGCACCTAGCTCTTAGTAGGCGTTCCGGCGCTTGTAGTTACGCACATTGTTGGCCAGGCAGCAGGCGAAGATGAAGCCGATCAGCTAATAGATTGACAAAGAGAATTTGTGAATTAATAAGTAAACAAGCTCTGCCTTTATAAGGCTGCCAATTCTCACCTCCACAGCAATAAGGCCGATACCCACGTATCTGGCGTTATCCGACCCAGCGGACATCAATTCAACGAACTTTCCACGGCATCCTGGGTAGTAGTTAGTCGGGATCAGGCAAGATCCACTGCAGCAACTTGCGGGCAGAGTTTGTCCCTTAGAAATGTAGTCCAGGGCAGAGTTTTCTCCGCAGCAGTGCAACTAGAAAATTAAGTCCGAACAGGTCAGAAATATCCAAGTTTTTGGGTTCTATTTGAAGCACTTACCGATTTCTGGATGGCATCGAAGACACCTCCCTCCTGGGCGGTGTCTGACTTCCAGGCGTTCTCGATGACGTTGCCCATGGCGTCTTCAAACTTATCCTTGTTGGTAAACAGCAGAACGACGAGAGTCAGCTGCAGGATCAGCAGGATCAGCAAGAAGACAGCGTAGCTCATGGTCATGCAGACCGATTCGCGAATGGCGCCGCAGCATCCCAGGAACGAGATGAAGACCACCACCGAGCCCAAACTGATGAGAACGATCGGCATGAGAGCCTGTGGGGGGAAGCCCACCTGTCCATTGACTTCGATGGTACCAATGCTCTTCAGAATCAGCACGCCATATACAATGCCCAAAATGCCGATGACCTGGAAGGGAGAAAGAGGAAACCAATCGGTTTAGATAAAATAAAATTCCTTTTTAGATAAGAGGTCTACAAAAATAGGAGTTGCGCTTGTAAGCCAAAAGTAGTACGAAAATGAATCTAAATCGGCTAAGACAAGACGTAACAGATACATCAGATACATGCTGCAATTGCGCTTTCCACGAACAACTCTAAATATAGTTCAAATTAATCAGCTCGCTCTCGTTTATTTTAATTGAAAGTGGCGGAGTAGAATGGCTTTCGCAATTACCATGCTAAAAAGACTTAATTACCACAGAACCCTGTAGCTGACCTCAGGGATTCCAAGTCAGGCCCAGGCACGCCATCAGCGCCGCATGGTTAATGATAATTAAAGTAAGTAAGTTACGTAATTCCCAACTAGTTTGCTTCCACCACGACGCTACTGGTCCAAGAATATTTGCTGGCCAAACAAGCCAAAGGCCCCCCGATCTGATCCGATTAGATAAGCCAGAATTTGTGAGCCGCATCCCATGACATTCACATTCACACATGACAATGGCGCACAAATCTCGCCGAGGTCTGTGGTGCACTGTAATTTTGGTTTTTATGGGGAGCCCTCTGCCCCAGACAATGCGAATAAACTTTGATCTTTCGGCAGCAACAAAACGCCTGACTTGCTGCCCCAATTGCTGCGCGGTCATCAATTGAATTTGCTTGATTTCATTATGTGTACACTGTATCTTTTCGTATATTTATGGGGTGTGTGGGCTGCCTATATCTCCACAGATTTAAAACTCGAGTGGCTGTGCGCGAAGAGCTCAGAATACAAATTCGTGGGCGGCGGCGGCTAGCTAAATAATACATTCATTGCAGCTGGATTTGATTCCGTGTCAAAATTGACCCAAATATATTCAAAAAATCCAAACAAAGGAAAGCACTGCCCCGGCACTCTGCTAATTGTTCCACTTTGGCAGCACTACACTAATAAACAAAATGCTGCATGAAAACAACACTCATCGTTTTGAAACCTGTTTGCAGCCGCCAACTTTTCCCACTCAGCTTTTACTTATGCTAGCCCGATTTCTGCTAACGAGGACATTACACAATCCACATAAATATGGCCGAGACAATGCTGTCGACCACGTTTCGCTTAAAACTGTCAGCGACAGCTTCAGTGACGTCACTTTGGAATGGAAATATAATGCAAATGGCTTTTGCAAATTCCACAAAGCCGAAATAAGGGTCTGAGATCATATTGCCAACGGGGGAAAAAAAACAGGAAAACAACCCTCAAGGGAAACGAAAATAGTTGGCAAGTTTGCGTACCGCAATAAAGATATAGATATATATTTACTAATACGGAGAACCACACCCAAAGCTGTGAATGGCTTTGTTTGGCGCCAAACTGCCTGCATCTTCAAAGCAAACAAGTTGGAATTTACCCGACGAGCAACAGGACAAATGCGTGTTCGAAATGTGTAATTGTTGAATTAAAGTGTACAATATAATGGTCGTAGTCATGCAATTTATATCTGACAAGCCCACGCTGACAATGATAAAAATAATTAAAGCAATCAGTTGTGTAAGTTTAAAAATTTACCCGCTGATTAATGTACTTTTTTATATGAATTAAAATGTTAGAACAATTGTTCCTCTGTCCCAGGCCCAACAATTTTAAAGTAAAATCGTATTTTGTATGGGTCAATCTTTTACCACATTATACCTACATGGAAAAATTAGATCATTATTGTTTTCGAATATTGTAAAAAATATGAAATGAATAATAAATGAACTTCGCACACTCTGTCCAGATATGCATATTTTTTAGAATATTGTAAAAATATGAAGTGAATAATAAACGAATAGCTATAATCGAAACATGGGGAAAGATGGTATGCACACTCTGTTCGTTGTTGTTTGTAAGTTGTTGGTATGTACAATTAAAATATGTACATATAAGCGTTTGTGATTTCCGTAATTTTTTTTAATTGTATCAATTTTTAAAGCTATAATTTTTAGTGGAATCAAACTGGTTGTACTTTTCAAAGACTTGACTTGAACAATAAACTACATTGCATTCTTGGTTGGTTTGATATATTTCAAACTCGCTGGAAATAAAGTACACTCATTGGCACACCACAATCCAGTAGTTGCGTTTATTCCAACATTTGCACATGGCAATTGAGAAGCTGACACGTCATCGGAAAACATTTCCCTGCGATTCGTTCAATACTGAGTTTTGCTTTCGCTAAACGAATATGTAAATATTTGCTCCTGAAGTTGTTTGCCGAGTAACTCATGGCGCAGGAAACGACTGTCGATAAGCTGAATGCAGGTCACTCAATACCCGATGGCCTTACACTCATGGGCGAGACTGCACGCCCTTTTAGCAGCAACCACCTGTGGCAGACTGGTTGCGCTTATTATAGTAATACTGGTTTGTCATTTGGCATGCGAAATACGTACGAATTGTTCTAACGCTCTAATGACTACATCACTGAGAAAAACCTATGACTCAAGGTATCTCACGAATCATAGCATAGTTCTTTAAAAAAAATGCGAGTTTACAAATATTTCAGCTATAGAATTGATTTCTTGTACTTTTTTTTGGCTTAGGAAAATTGTAATTCAAAGAAAAATTGAGTTTTTCGAAAGTTGGTGTTCTATTCTGACCGTATTCAAGTTGTTTTTCCCCTTTTTATTGTCAAACTGCGAAATGTGGTTCTCCTATAGTACTCGTTGCTGCTGTTTTTTCGAGCGTTGCGGCAGTTTTTTTTTTGTTTTTTGTTGTAGAAGTGTTCGGCGAGCTCTAAAAGCGGCTTGTTAATTTATTTGGCTTGTCTGTCAAGTGTGTTATGTACTCGGCTATATACTCGAGCGGAGCAGATAAATATCAACACGGCGGTCTGTAAGTGTATACTATGTATACTATGTATACCACATACAAACTTCTGCTCCGCCAACCAGTTGTTCAGTGTGGCTTTTGTTTTATCGCTCTTCTCTAGAGCAACAAGTTTTTATTTTCGTTCATTCTGTAGTGCCTTTCTGCTCATTTACCTACTTATGTGCAGGTATGTTTGGGCCAACAGACGCGGTAAAATCAAAAGCCCTGAAGACTGCCCATAAATTATAGAAATTAACTGAAATTGTATTTGAATTTTGAGGGTTTAAGCCATCGTTATGAAAAACCTAACCTATTTGTATTTTTTATTCATAAATAATCTTTGAGGAAATAAGACAGCTCTGATTATTCTAATCTAGGTTTCATAAGAAATACTACTACATTTCGGTTGGGAATTTCAAAACATTGTTACCTATTTGCTGATAACATTTTGACCACAATTGTATTGTTTTTATATTTACAATTCGTTTCGCTTTTCGGTTTGTGGCTGTGACTTTTGTGACTCATTTTGCGTTTATTTACAGGCGCCTTAACGAATGCTAAGTATTCAAAATTTAACGATGAGTATTTGCTTTATTATTTTAAGCACAGTTTACAGGGTTTTGGCCTGACAAGGCTAAAATGTGCACGTGGGTGTGAGTGAATTCAAGCAAAAAGCGTATACATCGAAAATACGCTGATTCTGAACATTGCCCTCGGATCATGTTTAGACAGCTTTATATTTCAGAAAAGAACAGCGTGAAAAATAAAAGCTCAGATCTTCTTCAAA